AATGAGTAGTCATGCTCACTAAAATGTCCAGACATGTGGCGGCGTGGTGGGCCGGGTCATTGGGCTCCCTAAAATATGGTCGAGCGCAGTGATGGCTGGCTCATCCGTCATACTCGTGAAACGAGTGCTGCTTGTAGGGACTGGTCTGCTCTTATCACTACGACCGATTTAATCTTATTGCATATTTATATTTGACCCAAAAATTAGTGCTTGTTGGTAGTTTGTATTCACACGTTTCGACTTGTAAATGTAAACTTACAAGGATTATTTAAAAGAGCAACACACAAGTTTCTTGCTCGTTCTTCTTGTGATGAGACAGCTTTCCGAACGAGTGGTAGATAAAAAAATTGTTATGACTATTCAAAAGTGCTTAAATTAAGTTTATTTGAATAAATGATTTTCTATTCTATTCTAAGAACAATGAAAAGTGTATAATTAGTCAAAATTACGGGATCTTACCACGTTTTATATTTATTTACTGAGTTCCCGATATTTCAGCAGTGTTTCAACCGCCATGATCACGGGTAAACTGAAGAGCAGCGAGTAGATGGTAAATACAATCTTTTTATGGACAGACATATGCATCTATCTTTACACATATTCGTTTGTTGCAACAAAAACAACACTACCTAAATATATATGTATAATTTTTACTAATTATATACTTTTCATTGTTCTTGTAGAAGATTTTCTAATAAACAAGTACTATAGATATATATACAGATTTCATACTAAACGCATACATAAAATTAATTTTGTTACTATTACAGTATCTAATTGTACTCAATTAAAAATTCATTAGCAAAAATATATTAATTAGGACCTCAAAACCATGATATTATATCAAAGTAGGTACAGTTGATAATCAGCCTAATGGAAACTATATACATATAAATGAAATTGGAGTGTTTGGCAGGTTTATTTTAATTTATCAGTTTGTATTGCGAACTGACTCTCACTTAATGGAACCATAGATAACAGACCAAATCAAACCCAGTGACTATAGACAAACAATAAACATGCAAATTTTCACTATAATAACTTTACTATTAGTAGAATCATATCAAATATGATAAATTTCCTACAGTGAAAAACTTTAGAATGTGACTTAACATATTATTTATAATTATTTAATCTGAGTATAAAGCAAAAAACCGTGAATAAAAATCAGTATTTAGTGAACCCTCTCTCAGTTCAAGCAAAGTTTAAAGTGTCAGAATTCCTCAGTATATATGTACATATCAATTAGAGGTATTGAATTCGATTCTCATTGCATTCACTTACAAGCAATTACAACACGTTGCGACACGTGTAGTTACATTATGAGTGTAATGTTATGGATGGTCCTTGACATGATGAAATCTGAATAAGTTTTGCATTTGCTAAAGCATTACCTTTCATAATAAATATAAGTTGTGAGTAACATTATGTATTTATTCACACACAAAAATGTATACTTACATGGCGGACTTAATGCCTGATGGCATTCTGTACCAGTCAACAGTCGCGTTGATCAGAGAACGTATGGGGGAGCAATTTAATAAGTAAGCTAAAATAGATTAACACAGAAAAATAATACACATATATGCACGTATAAAAATATACTTATAAATAAGCAAAATTTATAATCTCATGGATATTATCATACAAATTAAATTATAGTAAATATACACATGGTTTCATGGTATATATCTTCAAACAGTAGTTTCAGTGTTATATAGCTCTAGTAATAAATCAAATTGATTAATTCCACACGAGATTCCTTAATTATTCAAGTAAGTCCATTATTAAGAAAAAAGAAATCACCATGAGACGTCAGGAAACGCAGCATGTAGTAATAATATATGTATATTAGAAGTCAAAATGTTGAAATTCGAAAATCGAGAATCGAATCGAAGTCAATATTAATATAGTACCTTTTTTTGCCACATCGCACGTCAAACTTTTTAAATCATTAGTTGTAATTATAAATAATGATTAAAAAAATATACGTACACAATAAATAGCCTAATCAGGCTATTTATTACTTTGAAGTGTAATAACCTCTCACACAAATATCGGTGGATTGTATTTTTAATTTAAAATCTTAGAATACATGTTTTTTAGATAAACGTATAAAGTTCGTAGAAGATATCATAAACGGGTCATTTCCTAGATGAAACGTGACGAAGAGAATTATCTTTAACTGGTTAATTCTAGTGAACTATTCTAAAAGATATATTTAATCGAATTAGGTGTTACTTTGCGGATGTACATTTCGCTACTTAATGGATTTATTTTAAATTGTTTAATTCCGCTACAATTAACATGTGTGAGACCACAAATATTAAACTACTGAACCGATTTAATTGAAATTTGGTACAAGTCGCTAGCCAGTCTTTCTATAATTTTTTACTGAAATTTCTGGCAAAAAATTATGACAATATGATAGGCATCAGTGGGAAAATAAAACATAAAAGCTAATAATAATACTGATGAAGTGGCAAAATTATCAATAATTATTTTACAATGATTTCCGAACTAAATACATATTTATGGGTTAAATAGTATTTAGTTCGGAAATTTTATAAAAAAAAGAGTTTATTTTACTACATGATTGCTTATAGGAAAATATTTGTATATCTAACATTATCATTACATAGTATAAAAAAAAGTCTGACCGTCCCTATCTATGTATATGCATAAATCTTTAAAACTACGCAACGGATTTTTTAATAGATAGAGTGATTCAAGAGGATGGTTTATATATAATACATGTACACCCGTGCGAAGCCGGAGTGAGTAGGTAGTTACATAGTATAAAACAAAGTCGCTGTCGCTGTCTGTCCGTCCCTATATATGCTTAAATCTTTAAAACTGCACAACATATTTTGAAACGGTTTTTTTAATAGATAGAGTAATTCAAGAGATTTTTATATAGTTTCGACTTGTAAATGTAAACTTACAAGGATTATTTAAAAGAGCAACACACAAGTTTCTTGCTCGTTCTTCTTGTGATGAGACAGCTTTCCGAACGAGTGGTAGATAAAAAACAAATTGTTATGACTATTCAAAAGTGCTTAAATTAAGTTTATTTGAATAAATGATTTTCTATTCTATTCTATATAATACATGTACACCCGGGCGAAGCCTCGGCGAGTAGCTAGTATCCATTAAAAACAAAAAATCTAATCTTTGTAGTTTTCTTATACCACGTTGGTAGTAATTAGGCAACGGTCCAACTAAATATAACCTATGAAGGCCTCAAACTCATCTGGGGTATCACGTACGCCTTGACGATCATTCAGAAACCTTAATATACCCATTTTAAAAAACCACATGCTCTAGTTTTTATCATATTAGTTTGTATGTACAAAATTTACTCGCATTTTGTCACATTCACGATACAGTTACTCGGTTTCTTCTTGTTTGTCCCGAGCTATCTCAATCCGCAAAAATCTGGTATTTTATGAGTGTGCTAATTAAAATCCGGATTTTGGTGGTCCGAATTCATAAATTATTAATTCAAGTTTTAAAACATACATCAGTATAAAGCAGTCGCTTCGACTGCTACGGTGTCTGCTCACATCTAAATCACTATAAGTATTTCAATACCATTTCGGGAATTTCTTTCGAAAGGTTAATTCAAATTCAACAATCATTATGTAGGACATTTTAGCCGCTTATGTCAATTTTTTTATATTATAATTTTTTCACTACCATCCAATTCAATGTGTTGATCCAATTGAGAAGAACTGGCAAGAAACTCAATTGAATTACTTTGTTTTTAAAAGCCAGTTTATTTACAATGTATATTTATATAGGTGTCTATGTCTAACATTAAATAAAAATACCGTGCGTGAACAACGATTATGGCAATAGCTGTTCATGCACGCTGATTAATCAAATAATCGTTTCGTTAATAGACTTTGCTCAGTAAATATGATATATCCTAATACGCGAAGTCGTTTCGGCTGTCTATCTGTTTGTCCGGTTACTTCAAAATCACGACACGGATTTTCATACGGTTTTAACTCTTCGAGAATTTCATCGGGAAGCTTTATTCTATAGTTTATATGACATACCAGCGTCATGGCGACTCGTCACGACATATACTGAGCGGAGACCTATTTGATACTTATTATTAGTGCTATAGTTTGTGTTGGATTATCTATTTTTTGTTTTTTATTATTACTTACTGTTATGTGTGTATGTATGATAATATTTTCATTTTCTTCAATGTTTTTATTATTATACACCTCGGGAGTTGGCCTAGAACCGCTACGTAAGTCCTTCCACGGGTTTGCAGTGCCATCTACACTCACCTCCTATCGTTCGGTCAAATTGTGAAGGCCAGTTGTAGCCTACAGCATTAGAATAATTCGAAAAAAACCCACTGAAAAACAAGGGCGGGTCGCTACTTAATGTTTAAATCCAAAAATTTGTTTATTTGTTTAAATGCATTTATCTCTGGAACTATCAGTCGGATTCGAAAGAACTTTTTTGTATTTGATAGCCCAATTTTTGAGGAAGGTTATAAGCTATTAAACATGACAAACTCGCTGCAATCTTTAGAAGCTGACTAAATAGATAAAACGTTAAACGAAAACCAAGTAATATGCGCAGACGTGAAACACAAATGTTGCTGCTATTTTTTATAGTATTAAACAGCAAGTGAAGCCGGCGTATACAACTAGTTTCCACATAAGTATAAAGGGCAACTGTGAAATTGATTAACTCATAATATAAGATGGATGGAAATATAATAGTTGTCGTCAATTTTTATATTATTAAACAAGTGAAACCGGGGTATACAACTAGTTCCCACATAAGTATAAAGGGCCTGTATTACTGTCTGTCCAAAAACGAGATAAACGCTTTTTCCTCAAAGCAAACATTCGTTTAATTGACCAAACGCGTTTCAAGGTCTCACATGTGTAGGTACTTAACTTTTTTAAACCTTAAACATTAATTTTTTTATTGACATTGTAATAAAAAAAAATATGTATTTTTTGTTGCAGAAATGTTCGGGTATCAACGTAGTTTTGCGTGTATCGTATTATTATTTATCATATCGTATCTTGACGGGTCTGTTGGGAATGCTATTGGAAACGAAGTGATTGCTGATCAAGAACTGGTTTTCGCAATAGTTGTAAGTATTATTCTATAGCTGTTACTCGCGACTTTAAACAAAAATTCCTCCCTTATTTCACTCCTTTCCAGATCATTTTTGAGATAAAACACAGATTAAAGTCGTCCACGAGATCCAATTTTTGTTTTAGACTGGGTCAAGCTGTTTAAGTTTACTTCCAATAGTTGCAGGGTAGAGTCCTCGCACGGTACACACCTTTGTTCATAAGTATGATTGTTTATATCGGCCTGGATGTTTTCTATGTATATTACCTGAAACAGGTATTTCCATGCTTACTAGGTCATCCCAACACTATGTGATTGTAACTGAATTGTTTTTAAAGAAATAAACATTTTTTTCATGTTTTCATATTACGTATATATTAAAAAAAAATGTAGTATTTATATCAGTTGTCTAGTAGCCATAACACAAGGTTAAACCAGATGCCTGTATAATTTGTTCTGGATTTGTTGAAGTTATTATCCAAATGTTTGTACCGTGCAAATCAGGCATCGAACCTTGAACCATTGGAAATAAGGCGATGTGATAAACGTCTAAACTATTGATGCCGTCATAATTAGAGCAATTGTAAGAAGTTTAACTGTCCATTACTGACCATTCCATTTTCTGGACTGCAATCTTATAACTTGCTAACTTTTATTATTTGGTTTTGGCTTCTTTTTGTTTCCTTTGATTTGTTACGTTTTACTTTTATAATTACATGTACATTAATATCATAAAAATTTTAATAAAATAAAATTAAATAAGAATCACATTCTTAACTAAAAACATTAATGTATACCAAAATTATCTATGTATATCTAAATTCACCAACTAATCCAAGTCATAATAAATATACTATCTCAATATACATCTCATAATAAACCATCTCAAACACTAAATAAACCATAACATTATCTGCTGAAGCGAGCGTATACCAATAAGTAATAATTAATAAAAATATGATCAATTACAACAAATTCTACAAACTTATACTACTGCTACTAGTATTGTATTCCAGAAAATTATTACTTACTTTGATCTTAGAAGAAAAGGTATAATCAATCACATTTAATATTATTTATTTACTAGCTATACCCGCGACGTCGTTCGTGTGGTTTTAACTTTATTTTTCTAAAATAAAAGTAGCCTAACTTACTCCTCATTACGTCTACTATCTGCCAAAAAAAGTCCCGTCAAAATTGGTCCAGCCATTTCAGAGATTAGCCGGAAGAAACAGAAAGACAAAAATTGTAAAAAATGTTATTTCAATATTACAAACAGACACTCTAATTTTATTTATATGTATCGATGTATCGATTAAAGGAAAACCGTAAATGCCATATAAACGACTTATTATACGAAGACACGGACAGTCTTTCACAAATAACAAGAGATTAATTCCGATAAATTCGACATCACTACATATATAATAGTATAATTTAGCATTAATATTAAATAACAGGTATCATTCCCCTGTATCAAATCGCAGCGGGAGCCTAAGATTTAAAATAAATAAAAATATATACGTTAAAAAAAAACTGCGAAACAAATAAAAGGAAAAAAAAAGTAACAGATATCTGTCACGTGCAACTGTGATCAAAACGAGATTAAATTATATTTGCTGCTATGTATATGCACCAACTTATAATAAAAATATCTGCATCAGTTACTAGCTCTTAATATAGTTAGGTTCCTGCAGTCTTGAAGACACTATCACAGCAGCGCTAGCACCTCTGGCGCCGGTTAAGACTCTACGTGACTTGGCAGCATCGTATTATCATGGATCTCCCAGATCGCAGGATATTCTAGCCATATTTCGAGCATAAACAACCATCAATAGACGTTCCAGAGTTCGGGAGATCATTGTGTGTTGTGTTGATAGATTCTCTCGAACCTTTATCTTTCTTTGCATATAAATAAAATTGGAGTGTCTGTTTGTTATATTGAAATAACCGTTTTTTACTACTAGCATATGAATATAAATGTGGTACATACATCAAAATAATTTATTTTACAATTTTGATCTGTCTGTGAAATGGTTGGACCGACTTTGACTGGACTTTTTTTGGCAGGTAGCTGATGTAATAAGAAGTAACTTAGGCTACTTTTATATTAGAAAAATAAAGTTAAATTCCACGCGGACGAAGTCACGGGAACAGCTAGTCATCATCACCAACCCCTATTTCTTAATAGTGGTTTTAATTTATACGACAAAACATTTGTGGAGTCAGATAGTTTGATATATATTTCTGTATAATAAAATAGTAAAACTGTGACTTATTAATACTGTCTGTTTGTTTAAAAATAATAATCATCTGTCAAATACAGATTTGATTGATTTGATTTTGAATAATGAACTGTTACAATAGCAGGTTATAATAAAATTAAAAGGTATTAATCAATATAAAACAGTCTACAAAGGGGGCAGTGAGTCTACCGTCTCTGTTATTTTGTTATAGCATGAAAAATCATATATACAATTGAATTGTATGTTCAAGTTTGATATAAAAACCGCTTGAGAAGTAGGCATGAAATTTTACGAAGATGTAAAAATATTAACAACTTAAAGTTTCTACTCTTATTTATTTTAATTTTAGATTTTAAACAATGCAATAGTAAACTAAAATAATACTTTTTACATGCAACTTTGCCTGGGAGATCTAATGAACCTTTATTCAGATCAACTTAGCCTAGTAACACTTTAGAACAAATATCCAAATAACTTTATTTTTATGTTCCTATTAACTTATTCTAGGAAATGCATTTTGTATATTTTCGGTAGATCTGTTTGCCCATCACGCAAGTATATATATATATATTCTTATGATATATATATATATATATATATATATATATATATATATATATATATATATATATATATATATATATATATATATATATATATATATATATATATATATATATATATATATATATTCACGCAAGAATATATATATCATATATTTATATATATATATATATATATATATATATATTCTATGCAAAATTGTAATATGTATAAATTCTTTTCTTCCTTATTTCTATCTATCTTTCTAATTACATATATCATCAATGATAATTTCCTTAATTTTTTTAATAACCTACGTATATTGGAAACGATTACATATTAATTGAGATATATTGTGGTTTACCTTTTATTAATTGTTATTTCTAAGCGACAACATTAGACAAGTACTTCTTTTTCCATCATTAATTAATTCATTAATTTCGTGGAATAGTGACCTTGTGACCATAAAGAAAATATATCTGATACATAATATACTACTATTTTATAAACCCAATTTTTTTTTATCTGAACTCTATGCCTTATGATTCCTCGTTCAAAGGCAAAGGCATCATCAGGCATAGAGTTCGGATATAGCTTGGAACCCTAGTGTTGACTGTTCATTGACGAAGTTAAGGCTTTATTTTTATGTTAGACTAGCTGCAACCGCGACTTCGTTCGCGTGGAATTTAACTTTATTTTTCTAAAGTAAAAATACTCCTTATTACATTAGCTACCTGTCAAAAGAAAGTCCCGTCAAAATCGGTCCAGCCATTTCAGAGATTAGACCGACCGACAGACAAAAATTGTAAAAAAATATTTTGGTGTATCTACCGTGTTTATATTCATATTTACGTAGTAAAAAATTGTTATTTCAATGTATGTATAGATGTATAGATAACAAAGAGAAGCAAACGATCGACGAGAGAAGCAAACGAAATCCTATTTTGAGTCACCCAGTAGAGTAACGTACAAACTTTATTTACCATAGTTTGTATGTTGTATCTAGTACTACTAAATAAAATTACAATTTAATATTATTACCTACTTATAATATTGCACAATGAAGCTATAAAATAGGTAAATACTAGGTAAATAGTTCATAATAATAATAAACGTTATAATGTGTTTATTTATAACTTCATGCCTTAACGGCTAAATCAATTGGCATGAGATTTTGTATACAAATAGTATTTTTAATGGCAGCGGCGTTTTTCCTAAAAAAATAATGTCTACTGACCTACAGGATATAATTACATACGTTCAAACGTTAACCATAAAATAATGTGATATATGTCAATTTTTTTTTAAATAATTATTGTAGCACTGGGCATATTTCGCAGCGTTAGCTAAGCAAAGCTTGTGTTATGAGTACTAAACGACTGACAAACATAAATATGTACATTTTTATTGTAAATACATATATAAAAAACACACAAACCAAAAAACGTGCGAGGAAATGTCTGTATCGTGTGAGAAATCGAACCTGCAACCGTCGGAAGTGATGTGCTAAAGAGAAGTCGTCAAAAGTGAGAAAGAAAATGAAGTCGTTTCAGAACTTGGGCGTGGTATAATATCTACATAATTTTCACCATCTTTCACATACATAAATCGTCAACCATAGCTGATAATAACATGAAAACAATACATAAAATAAACATACCATCACATGTATTACCTTCTTCTTCTTCTTCTTTAGGTGCCATCTCCTATCGGAGGTTGGCGATCATTATGGCGATCTTTACTTTGTCCGCGGCGGTCCTGAAAAGGGACCTGGTGCTCATCCCCATTTACTGACTGAGATTTTTTAACCAGGAAGTACGGCGTCTGCCTGGTCTTTGGCAACCCAAAGGGACCTAGTGCGCATGCCTGAGATTTTTTAACCAGGAAGTACGGCGTCTGCTTGGTCTTCGGCAACCCTACATTTTTCCTTGTATTATTAATTGCAGAAGACTGTATTTTTCATTCCGCATTATGTGACCCAGGTATAGCAGTTTACGGCGTCTGATGGTGTTTAGTACTAGTCTTTATTTGTACTCTTTGGAGAACAGTCTCGTTTCGCACTCTGTCCCTACACGATATCTTTAACATTCTCCTGTAAACCTACATTTCGAAAGTTTTGTATTCTCTTACACATCGTTTGTGTAAGAGTCCACGCTTCAACGCCATACAGGAGAATAGAAAAGACATAGCAGCGCAATAATCGAACTCAAGTCCCTATTTTTAGAGA